GTAATTTCAGATTTTCCGTTTCTTCTAGTTTCATCGTGATTTCTGCTTGTTCTAATTTGTCTACTAGTTTTCGAAAATCTAAATCAGGTTCTCGAATTGAAGAAGGATGAGATGCTCTCTTTTTTATTGCTATTTTCCTTAATTGTGGTGTTAAGGTCATCATTAAGATTTCTGTCATCTTTGTGTTTTTATAGTCATGTGTATTTAATGAATATGCTTTTCGAACTAGTGTTTCGATTCGTACTGCTATTTGCTTGATGGTTTCGTTTGGTAATCTGCGAATTTCATTACATAAAACTCTTTGTTGTTGTTTGTTTCTTTCGGAGTCAAACATTTTTGAAAATTCCTGTGTAAACCTTTTCCAGTTTGATTTTATTTCTAGAGGTAGTACTGAAAACCATTTTTGGGCTGCGCCATCTAAGGTTGTTTGTATTAACGCTGTGCGTCGATGTATCCAATTTTGATGTAGTGGCGTATTAATTGGTTCAGGTCCAATATTTAAAATCAGGTTTGCTGTTACTGCATTTAAATAATCTTCTACAGAGTACTCAGGGTCTGTTCCTGTGAAAACCATTAAAGGTTTGTTTGATGTTATTGATGATCCACCCATAAGGTATGGATTCATTGTCATTTGTAATGATTCTGCTGCATTTGGCATTTGAGAAAAATTTGAAAGTTGGTTTCTTGTTATTTCATGTTGTTGGAGATAATATGGGAGTGGTATTTCATTTTGCATTTGTGATGGTTGATACGAGTGTGCAGTCATTGGATTTTGTTGTTGAATTGGTTGAAAAGATTGTGTATTAATTAGATTTTGTTGTTGAATTGGTTGTTGATGTTGTGCATCTATTGGTTGTGGAGAAAAATTTCTATGATTTGTACGTGTTCTCTGTATTCCTTGTCTACGATATTCTTGAGTATTTGGTGCAAATATATCTGGTTGTAAGAAATCATCATCTGAGGATAAATAATCCATTTGATAAGATGTCTGTTTTTTCTTTTTATTTTGTTGAAAAAATGGGTAATTTTCACTGTGATCCCGTGGAGGATTTGTTTGGAAATTTGTTGAATTAGGTTGGGCCATTGGGTTATCCCAATTTCGAGATCTTGTATATTGGTTAAAATTTCTTTGTGGTTGATTATATGTTTTTGATGGATGTGTATAATTATAATTATGGTCTGCAAAGTTGTTTCTAGTGAATGTTTTGCGTGTTTTTGATGGTATTGTCATGGGTCTGTATGTTTGGTAATCCATATGTGAATATTTAGGGGCAACCGAAGGTTTAACGGTTGATTGTAAGGTTACCTGTGTTTGTGAAGGATTTGTATTTCTTGGTGTTGTTAAATTTGGGCGTATTGGTGAAATACTTTGTTGTGTAGTTGTTGTGTGTACAATTTCTTCATTTATGAAGTGTGATGGTGTCTGGATATCTTGTTGAGTAAGATTCCTAGTTCCATTGAGGTTTTCATTGTGTATAACTGTAGAGTTTAATCTATTATTTTGTGTATCGGGTAAAAATGTATTATAGTTTAATGGTGTTGCATCAATTGTTAATGGTATTACTCTTACATAATCTCTTATGTAAGATATTGTACCTATTGCTTGACTTGAGATTGATTGTGGAAAGCTTATAAATGCGGGATGAGACCATTCGGGGTCCCAAACATAATCTGATTGTTCTGTGATAGCGGTATCATCGTTCGAATTTTGGGGTCTAAAATTTTTTCTTGCTTGTGCAATTAAATCAATATTGTGTGTGAAATAATCTATTATGAACCATGCCAAAATTTTTTGTAGATCGTGTTTTGTATGTTGTGAAACGTCGTCTTTCGTGAAATTTTCTTTAATGATGTTTAAATAACTAGAGAGTAGTGTGATTTCATGTCGTACTTTCAAATGTTTAGATGTTTCTGTCGGTGAGACATTTGTTATTGGGATTTCGTTTTCTAATATCGAAATATAACTATATATTATTGCGAAAACTTCATTGGTGAATATGGAGTTTGCTCTTTGTGAGTTTTGATATTGGATGCTTTTTATATATTCTGAAAAAACTTTTGAAAATTCTAAATCAAGATCGTCTGTTTGAATTGTATATTTTCTATTATTATGGTTTGGTGAGGTAAATTCTATGGAGTAGATTCCATACTGTTGTGTTATGTTGCATATATCTTTTAGATAGTGATCTATGATTTGTCTTTTGATTTTTACATCGGGGAACTCTGTTTTACATGGACTGATTCCGGGTTCAAATAAATTTACGAGTAAATTTTGACAAAATATGTGTTGTCCTCTATCAGTATCTGCGTCTACTATAAAAGGAAAGATTTCATCATCATCTGGAGTTTCTTCACCTGGGGTGTGTGTTGAGCTCATTTTTTCGTTCGATGACTGTTAATATGTAATTATTAATGTGTCGAATTGGTTGATTCCAATTGTATAAATGTACTGGTTTGTGTTTGTACTGCTTTTTTATTCTTCTTTTTCCTCTTTGTGATGAATTTGAAGTTGTTTCTGAGTCAGAAAAATATAATTGATCGTGAATTGGGCAATTTTTATCTATTGATTCTTTTAGTTTGTAAAGTTCGTCTAAACTGTTGGTTTCTGATTCTGAAAATGCGTTTCGATTTTTTGAAAATCTTTTTCGTGTTATTTGTCTTTGTTTCGTTATTATTTTTCTTTTTAGTGTTTGTCGTTTTGTTCTAATGTATCCAACTGTTTGTGTATGAGGTGTGATTACAAGGTCGTATTTTTTGTTATCTATTTCACAATTGTGTAAAACGATTGTTTGTTTATTTCCTAGGTTTTTAAATGACATAAGGTTTAGAATGACGGATGCAAAGGGTTGTTAAATGATTTCTATTTTCCTAAACTGTTAGTTCTTACGATTTTTTGGTTAGCTTAACCTGGGTCTATTTGTTCAGGGTTGGAGAGAAAAGTATATCGATTCCGAAGAATGATTTTTTACTTTCTCGTGGCTAGTATAAGTTAAGGTGTTAACTTACTTAATCTTACTTAGGGGTAGTGATTGTGTTCAGGGTTGGAGAATAGTAAATCGATCCACAAGGTTCAGGTATAATTAGAACGCGAGTAGTTCGTTAGATACTATTTTAAACTTACTAAGTCTAAGATTTATCCTGGGTCTGGTAAGATGAATAACCGGGGGGTCAAGTGAAGGATGAATAACCGAAGTTCTTCACTGTTTATCCTAATTTGAATGATTAGTTTTGTTTAAAAATTTCTATTAGTCTTAGGTCTTTAGAAAGGGTTGGGTAGTGAATCGACGTTTGAGGTCGTTAGACACTAATTAAGTGGGTGGGGGAGAACAAAGTTGTTCTGTTTGATCCAAGGATAGGCCTTGATGATCAAATTTGAAATTTAATTAAGTAGAAAATGATTTAAGATCCAAGGATAAGCCTTGATGATCTGGTTTTAAAATTAAGTGAATTTAAGTTTTAATAAATTTTTAAATGTGTGTAAAGGAAAGATTTAGTGTTTTGATGATATTAGTGGGTTTATGATTGCTGTTATGTTTTAGATGATGGAGCTGGAACAACAGGATGATTTATGATTACTAACCATTTATTGTCATGCTACTAATTTTTATTTTTATTCTTCAATAAATATTTTTCAAACATATTTTATATATTACTGCAGAGTTTTAGGAGAACGATCTTAGATCTTTTTATCAATCGTTATTGTATATTAATAATTTTGTTTAGCGCCTGAAATGATTTTGAAGGGTAACTTCAAGGTTTTATGTTTGCAAATGAAAATCTAAATTCATTGCAAGTAGTATTCTAAATATAAAAGTTTGTTCTGGCTTTTGCCGAACTATCATATAACTATACGGCAAGTTTCTACTTTGTCGTATGTCGTCTTTGGTTCGAGGTCTTCTTCCAATTCCGGGTAGTTCTGTTATGGTTCGGAATATTGGCTCTGATCTATTGAGTCGTAGAGACATTTCGATTAAATTATTGTCGTATAACATTTTGTAAATGTTTTTGTCTAATTTCTAATCTATTTTGGTTAATTCTAAGCTATTAAGGTCTTGTTCGAGACTTATGGTCGCACCAGATGAGTTATGCCTCACTGGTCGCACCAGATGAGTTAGGACTGGAGTGTATAACTCATAGAGTAATTTCGGATAGGGTACACCGTCTGCTCGTCACGCTATCTTATTTTCGGCCGGATAGATTCGTGCAACTTCTTAGTCTAATACCGATCCTAATCTTACTCTTATACTATCTAGTCTCAGGTTGTTTAACTAGTCTCTGCTAGGCTCAATAGATCTAGGGTATACTGGTTTATTGCGGCTGCTGAAGTGCTCGGGAAAGTCCAACTAATTTCTAAGTTAAATTCAAATCTCTCTGGTGCTGAAATTACAAGTAACTTCAGCACTTACAAATAAGTGGGTTGTTAGTTAGATGGATCATGATTGGTTAATATTAAATACTTTACATTGGTAAAAAATTTAATTTATCCAATCATAAAATGTAGTTTAGATCAGGTTCCATTCATCCATTTATAACTAATTTATACTCATTTTATCAAACCTTTTAATTTATCTTTTTTTATAAATGTCCTTTTAACTCTAGGACCAGATCGACTATGATCTACAACATCTAATAGGAGACTTATGCTTAACATCATTTACTAATTAAAACAAAGGAATCTATCGATCGACCCCAATGTTTCCCTCAGTAAAATATAGAAAGTAGTTTAAGCAGCAAGTAACATGTATCTATTTGGAAAATTTCGTTTTTTTTTATACAAAAATGGCGTTTTCTCGAAAATGTTGATCTTCGAAAATAACAGGAAATCTGTCAACGCTGCGTGGTGAATCAAAGAGTTATGCTTTAATCTTTAAAAGAGGCACTTTTCTAGGCTTCAGATATTTCATACTATCATATATAACAATGCCAACTAGTTGAACTTATGACAATTGACAACGGGGTTTGAAAGCATCATTATTTTCGAAATCAATATAATTACCTTTTTCATGACCAGTGTCCCAGAAAAACTCCAAGTCTTGTGTGGAACCCAAAAGCTCTTTTGTTCTGTAGTTCACTCTTTGGACCAATAAATTCGAGACGTTAAACAGAGAGTGCATGTAAGCACAACTAGCTGACACTCCAAACGGATCAGCGGTGAAAGCGGATTTGACCGAAATGTTGAGGTTATTTTGAAGCCACGTAACTCCATTAAGAAAGTTCAAGGTCGTTTGATGTATGTTAGGAAGTCCCTCATCTTGCATTACGTAACCGGGATATGCAACCTCGAACCTGCCTTCGGAAATAACGGCTAAGAGTTTATCTTTGTAAGTTTGGGTCGCTCTTTTAACCCACATTCTGAGAAAAATAACCTCAGTCCAGACAAATCGAGCATCTACAACAAGGCACAAGTATGATGAATGTCTCCTATTGTTCTTATGCAGAAAATAGTTTTTTCCTTATGACTTAAGTGCGAAGTTTTTTTTGTGTTGTTAAATTTAGTCAATTAGATTCAATGATGGTCAAAATGTACTTAATATTTCGATGTTCTTAAACCTAGATTTCTCGCTGTATTAGCAAGAGTGGGTCTCGGCGATTTTTTATTGATAAAAGAGTTTTTTCTTGATCCAAATTAAGGGCTCATCTAATATCATACTTAACCTTTTTCATCAGTCAAAGCGTCAACGACTGTATTGAGAATTCCTCTCACTGAAATTTTAAAGTAATCTTCAGTATCGAAACGCCAGCCTGGATCGGTGTGAGAAAAAGGCACAATGTGAACAGAAATTTCTCCTTTTTGTTCCAAATCAATTTTAGTCGGAAACTTGTCAAGATAAAACGTGTACAATGGATGCAAAAAAGGAGGCAATGTATCTAAAATATTTTCGGAGGTAAAAGTTTCATCGGTACCGTAATCAAATAAATACAAATTAAACCAGTTTTCATAGTAAGAAGTAGTCAGTAAAAGCCCCAGAAGCACTATTAACACTACTAGGAATAACAAGAAAAATGGGTAAAAAATAAATCGATAACAAATTAGTTTCAATTTTCGACGAAATCGCAATACTCTCATTTGGCGTGATTTAATAATAAGAAACTTAACTGCGTTCTAATATAATTGAATTGTTTATTTTTTTAATGAAAGCGCTAATTTATTTGACTATTTCAATTATGAACTCTTGGTAAACTTCGTCATGCAATTATTCTCAAAGACCAAGGTAATCCGGGTATTAGGTAATACATTTTGCATCTTAGAGAATTCATTCCTGAAATAGAGGAGTAAAAATGTTGTTCATGTGACTTGAAACTTTCTCAGCAAGAAATTGAAATAATCAGTGTGAAAACTTCACTTAACTCGGTTGTGTCTTACTTTTTCACGCAATTAGAAAAAGTTAATGCAAAAGACGAAATGTGTCATTATCGGACCCGGATTACGTTGGTAAGTAATTGAAAACAAATGTTGATAGTTTCATAGAGGGTAGCTCCGATCAATTGCTCTTCGTCTATGTAAACTCTGTTCTGAATTTTGAAGGAATTGTTGTTCAAATGGACATTAAAACAGGCATTGTTGAGAGTAAATTGTTGAATTTGCCCTTAATTTTAACCATTTGTGTAAATGTTTAGTATGTTTCGGTGCCTTATTTGGAAAACTAGTGCAATATTTGAAAAAGTAGTGCACAGTTTTTCCTAGAGCAATCAACCAAAACACCAAAACAAAAAACACAGAAAGAAAAATTGAGTGTTAGCGTGGAGACTTTTTCAACTGAGAGCTTTATTCGATTTTTTTCAGGACATGTATTTCTTATCAGATATATAATCACCAGCAAAAAGTTGGAACATTACAGAAATAGTTTAAAAGAGCAATCTGCCAGTTTTGAGCAACTCTTGCATGCAAATTCCAAACTTAGGTGACCTTGAGACATTATTTCTGTCTGAACAGTTAGCTTTTGCATGCAAAAGTTGTCTGAGATGGGTCATTTTTTTTTCATTTATTTTGTCTGTTACACTTTTTTAAAACTCTATACAGTGCTGATTTAAATTAACCGGACAAAACGCGTTAAACTTGAAATTTAAAACGCGTTTCTCTCAAATTGGGTTGAGTGTAGTTGAAAATTTATGAAGACAAAACTTGCTTAAAATTTTAGCAAAATTAATATGGTGTAGTTTGTTTGCAAAATTCCTGCCCAAAATGTTACCCCAAAAATGGGTCATTTTGGCTTTTCTTAGTTAATCAAAAATTACGCCGATAATAACGAGTCGATCACAGACATAGTTATATCAAAGTGAGCCCCTATGTAGCCCAACAAACTTTAACAAGGGTATATTCTCCCAAACATTGTAAAAGTCAATTTATTTTGTTTGATAGACAAAAAAGGTCGTTTTTACTATACAAAATACCAATTTTTTATTTAAAAACTATGATAAAACAATTTGCAAACTTTTTTGGAGAATATACCCTTTTTAAAGTTTCTTGGGCTACGTAAGGAGCTCACTTTGATAAAACTATGTCTGTGATCGACTCGTTATTATCGGCGTAATTTTTGATTAACCAAGAAAAGCCAAAATGACCCATTTTTGGGGTAAAGTTTTGGGCAGGAATTTTGCAAAACAAATTACACCATTTTATTTCTGCTAAAATTTTAAGCAAGTTTTGTCCTCATAAGTTTTCACCCAAACTCAACCCAGTTTGAGAAAAACGCGTTTTATGTTTCAAATCTAACGCGTTTTGTCCGGTTAATTTAAATCAGCATTGTACAGTGCTGATTTAAATTATCCGGACAAAACGAACAAAACTTGAATTTTCAAACGCGTTTTTCTCAAATTGGGTTACTATTAGACAAAAAGTGAAGAGGACAAAAGTTGCTTAGAAATTCACCAGAAATAATATGGTGCTATTTTTTCTCCGAAATTCTCAACAAAAATTTTACCCCAAAAATGGCTCATTTTGGCTTTTTTTAATTAATCAAGAATTACGCTGAAGTTACTTTGTTAATTGATAAGAAAATTATATCACAGGAAGCGTTTCACGCAGCTCAACAAAGTTTTAGAAGGGTCAAATCTGCAAAAATTTGCGCAAATTGTTTAAAATTTATTTTTAAACAGATATTCTGGGTTTTATATAGTAAAAATCACATTTATTGACTATCAAGTGAAAACTTTTTCTCTTATACTAATTTTTGGAGATTTAACCCTTCTGAAACTTTGTTGAGCTTCGTAAGACGCTTCCTGTGATATAATTTTCTTATCAATTAACAAAGTAGTTTCAGCGTAATTCCTGATTAATTGAAAAAAGCCAAAATGACCCATTTTTGGGGTAAAATTTTTGTTGAGAATTTCGGAGAAAAAATGGCACCATATTAATTCTGGTGAAATTCTAAGCAACTTTTGTTCTCTTCTTTTTTTGTCTAATCTTAACCCAATTTGAGAAAACGCGTTTGAAAATTCAACTTTTGTTCGTTTCGTCCAGATAATTTAAATCAGCACTGTATAAGCAACAGCTTATTTTGCATGTCGCAAATAAGTTCTTATCTCGACACTGCGTTTCTCGATTTGTTCCGAATTTTTAAGTGCAATATGTATCGGTTGCTTACCTTCTACATAAGTTAGTTCAAAAATGTTCAAAACTCCGTAAAATCTTTATTGAGAATCAAACTTGGCATTATCGGTTAATATCAGGAAAAAGCTTTGTGGTTCAAACTGATTCTAACTTTTTACTTCAAAACAATGCCTTAATCAGTTTAGTCTCTATACAAATTTCAATACGACTACTTCTCGTTCATGCTTGAAAATGTAACACACACAAAAACACACCATACATAAAATAGTCATAAGCAAAACGAACTGAAAAAAAAAGATAATGAACTTTATAGTTTCGTAAAATCAGTGAAACGTTAAAAACGCACCATCAAGGAGTCCATCAAATTTTTGAGCTCTGAAGAAATCAATCAATCAAAATACAACAAAATTGACAAGTCAGGTGATATTAGTAATTAATCAACTGCTGGTCTGGTATTTTTCAATCAGTAAGATGTTCGTTGGCCTTTGGGATAGATGTCAGACTTAATTATCGTTTCGAAAAGGTCCCTTCACCGCGTATTTTCATAAAAGTGAATTGTCCGAATTGTTGAATTTTCTATTAAAGGCCTGTCTGCAATATGTGTATATTTTATAATGGTTAAGGTTTACCAAAGTAACTTAGTTCGCATTTTGATATAGAACATTTACCAATTCGGTATAGAAAGTTTGAGCATTTAGGAATGTTTAAACACCATGAAAATCTTGTTAATTCATTGTCCGAGGCTTGCCCATTAAACTGCAAAGAAGGCAATCGAGGTAAAACTTCGTAACCGAAAAATCGATTGGCCGAAAATTATAAAAGTCATTTCGATTTCAATATTGAAATTTCGAAAGAAAAAAGACACTATTCAGTCAAGAACAATTAAAAGACGTTAATTGGTTGAAAATTTTTGGCCATTTAAACTGGTCAACGCTGGGCTTCTGATATACAGATTGAAATTTATATCAGTATGTTTCATTATAACCCGAAGTATAATTGCAATTGTGTCGCTGATAATATCTTCGAATCCACTCGGCAAAACAGGTTAAAAAACTGTAACATATACTAGTATATCATAAAATCATATGACGCAATTCGCTTAGACAGCTAATTGATTTTTAAAATGTTTTCTGCTTTTTTAAAGGAGTAGACATTATATAATAATGGTGAATTAAAAGAGAGTATATGCCACACACAGGCAAAGCAAGTACGTTTGATCGGCTAGAGCGCCACTAAGTAAACAGTCAAGATGCAGATATAAATTCGAGATTGAAAAAGCACCGAAGCTTCAAGCGAATCCAACGTCATTCAATAGTTTAAAAAAGAAACAGAAAAGCACATAGATGAAATTTCAAAAATTGATACTGCATTTTTTTGCGAAAAAATAACGTTTGTTGTTCTAATTTCAATACAATAACGTAATCGAACTCCAGGCTATTTTTTTCCTCTGAAAATTTTTGATGGAATTTTATGTTTTATCCAGACTAAAAACAAATAACAAATTTTGAACGATTGAAAATAATTCTATACAATTCTCTTTATAATTTGGAATCCATTAAAAAATAGTATCCTGTTCGGGATGTAATTGATTTGCAATTGATTTCACTTTTCACAGAAAGAAACAAGGATAGCCGATTATTGCGCAAGTAGCGCAGAATGTTCCGACCACAGTCTTAGAAAACACAAAAAGATTTTTTTTTCAAAATACTGTTGTTTTTTTTTCTGCGTGGTGTGATAAAAACATCTGAAGGAAAATAAGAACTTAGGGATATTTGACAGTCATACTAAAAAGGCCATTCGAAAAACGTTTTTAAAGAAAATTGATTGGGTATGATTGGGTATGGAAAGTTCTGAAGTTTAGGTCTTTTTTCTTTCCGCCAAAAATTCAATAAATCAACATCTTGAATTGAAACTATTTAGCTTCAAGTTGATTGGTTAGAAAAAGCTTATAAGCTTTTAGCACCATCTCAATTTTTTGTCATAAATTTATGTAAAAATGGCCGAATTAGCCAAAAATATAGCCTGATGGTAAACTAATCAAATTTATTTTATAATAGATGTAGCGTTTTACCCAGACTAAAGAGAAAAACACAAAAAAAGCTCCAGCAAAAAACGACTTCCTTCACATTTGCTCAAAACTCGGCTAATCAATGAGGTGATCGCATTTGCAGTAACCAAACCAATCCGTGACATCAGTATTTTGTTCTCTGTATTTATACCTTGATTATTATAATCATTTAATTAGGAAGTTTGAGCGGAATAAGTAAAAATACCTCGAATTGGTATTAGATTACTCGCTTGGTCCATCAAAGTTAAAAACAAAAATAATATATCAATTCCCTTTTAGTCCCGATTTTATATCAAAAGTATACAGTTCTTAGTTTAAGCGTATGAACTTAAATTTCTTCGATATGCTTTTTTGCAAACATCAAGTTGAAGTAGAAGTAACAATGAAAGTTATATGCTCTTATAAAAAAATTAATCCGGCTATAAGAGTTGTAAAAAAAAAATAGTTTTAAAAAAACAATCCGGAAAATTTTAAGCTACTACTTACCCTACTCAAGGTCGTTTCGGTTTTCGTATTTTTGATTGGTTTCAAGTTTCTTTGAACTGGAATCTTCTTCCCACTCATTCGTTGATAAAACATCTTAACTATCACTAAAAAGAATTCTAAAAACAATTGAAAAGAATTGAAAAGTTGTTGAAAGTTTTGAAAAACTGATCTTCCAAATGAATGATTAAGTACAACTCGGGTAATCTGACTTAAATTTTTTTTATTTTATTTGTTATTATTCTTGAAAAATTATGTTGGTTTGAAAATTGCAACTGATTAGTCTGAATAGCTCAGAACAACTTTTCATAAACCAGACACTAGACCCCCAAAGGTTATCGTTTATAAATAATCAATCTAAATGCTCAGAGTTCTTCATTACAAGGCCAAATTGTGCACTGGCTGAGCTCATAATTTGGTATATGAAAGTCACTAGAA